GAAAAGCATTTGAACTGAAATGAACAAACTGTATTTGTCAGGATGCTTTGTTGCCAGGTCCGTACATCCAATTTAAGCAAGCTTCCAAGAAAAAAAGGAAAGAATTATTTACCCCCATAATTGGGAAGTACTGGGAAGGTCTGGTTTAAACATTCAGGGTTAAAATACCGAAGTAAAGAAGCTTTCTGTTCCTAGCTCTGGGCCTTGCCTCTGTGACTTTATTCTCAGTTAGTGGGAAAGATGTATGATGGCTTGTGAGCCCAAAGGGAAAAGTTCTTTCTGTTTCTGTATCTATGTGCAAATACCATTGACCCTGCTTGGGCACTGTGCCTACAATTAAGCTAGTCACTGGGTACAAAGGATACATACAGTACCTTGGTTTGTTCTGCTAGGGCTCTATGCCTACTCTATACAGATCATTGGGAAAGACATAGTGGTAGACAGCCCTTTAGACTTTAAGCTCCTTACAACAAGGGAGAAGTTGTTCCTCCCATAGGAAAGGGGCTGGCAGACAAATGTAACTTGTGTGTGCACAAGCAGAAACTAACACTCCATTTCCCTTAAGATTCTTGTATCAGTTAGCTTGAGGTGCTATCAAAAAATGCCCGTAGGACCAGCAAGACGGCTCGGTGAGAAAGGCTATTTGCTGCCAAGCCTGTTGACCTGAGTTCAATCCCTAGAACCAACATGGTGGATGGAGAACGCTGACTCAGTTATCAGTGCTACACACCTTTAATCCCAGCACTCAATTATCTTATAAAGAGAAAGACTTAACCTGGCTTGTGGTTCTTTAGGTTCTAATCCAAGGTCAGGTGATCTCATGGTTTTGGTTGTTTCTGTTTTTGGCTTCTGGAAAGGGGTATCAAATGGCAAAGACGGGGTGTAGTTTGCATTTTGAAGCCACTGTGGTGTCACAATCCCCTTGGAGGTCACACCACTACCGACCTAAGAACCTCATTAAGCCCCGTCTCCTAGAGGTTCCACCACTCCTCAATAGCACCAATTCTGGTGACCACAGCCTTCAACACTGGAGGCTTTGGAGATGTTCAACATATAAACTACAGCAAGGCCGGGTGTGTTAAATTGCCCCTTAGTGTTTTTAAAGGGCCCATCTCATTTACTGATTAATATGTTCGTTCACGGTTATTAGAGGAAACGGTTTGAAAAGTCTCCTACTTTTGGATGTCCTGGTGTCAAGGGTTACGGTAACGGAATCGTCTCAGTTCCAGGGTATTGTGTATTTGGCACGATTAATCTGCTGTCTGCACTGGCCTCTTCTAGATGAGACCTCGGGACGAGGCTTCCAGATGAACGATCACACAAAGCTAGCCCCTGCAGGAGCTCGGGCATACTTCTCACTCAAGGCACAAGGGAGAAGTCGGAGCTTTATTGTTATATTAGTCAGGGTTCTCAAAAGAGACAGAGCTGATATTAAAAGGGGATTTATTAGACTGACTTTCAGACATAGCAGTCCAACGGTGCATGTCTCACCACGGAAAGGCTGAGAATCCAGTGGTTGTCCAGTCTACAAGGCTGGATGTCTCTGCAGCCCCAGTCTAGTGCTGGGGGATGGGAGGATTCCTGGAGAACTGCTGTTTGTCACATTGGATCCCAAAGAAGTCGGATTTAACACCAACCTCAGCAAACAGCGTAAATGAATTCCTGCAAGAACAAGGACAAGTAGGCAAAAAACAAAAGCTTCCTTCTTCCGTGTCCCTTTATATAGGCTGCCACCAGAAGGTGTAGCCGCCACTAGAAGGTGTAGCCCAGACGTAGGGTGGGTCTTCCCACTTCAAATAATCTTATTAAGAAAATCCCCTGCAGACATCTACAACAGTTTGAGTTACAGCTGGTTCCAGATATGTGTGTCTTTTAACACACACACACACACACACACACACACACACACACACACAAAGAAACAGCAGCAAAAAAGTCCTCCTATCAATTATGGTAAAATATATGCAATATAACATTTATCATCATAATCATTTTTAAGTGTATAGGTTCAATTCATCTGTTTCAATATGCAGCCGATCTCCAGAATATTTACACCTTGTAAAACTGAAGCCCTACACCCATGAAACAACAATTCCTCCTTCCTTCCTCCCCCAGCCCCTGGCACCCGCCATGCTCTATGAATGTGATTGTTCTGGTTACTGCCTATGAGTGGAACCTTGCAGGATACATCCTTTTCACTTAGCATAATATCTTCAAGGCTCATCCCCGTTGCAGCATATGTCAGAATTTTCTTTCTTAAGGCTGAATGACCCCCTATTGTTTATGTACACTGCACTGTTCATTCATCCATCCATGGGTAGATTCTGGAGAGCTCCTGTTCTCTAGGTGTTGTGAATGTACCGTGAACATGGTGCAGAGGATCGGTTTTTGATGGCAGCAGCCTGGGTATTCTGGGACCCTTGGCTGGATTCAGATGAGATGGTCCCAGCAGGGCTGTGAACAGCTTAGCTCTGCGTTAGAAAAAGCAGCACAGGGATCAGGATGCTTTCTTCTAGATTAAGCCGGACTTAGATGTTGGGATGGCTTCCTGAGGCTGAGAAAATATCACACGTGAGGGAGAGAATCCAAAGGAAGGAGAATGCCAGGCTTCATCTGGTTCAAAGACTGGGCCGCTGCTAGCCACAATTTCACACTTTGTTGACTCATTTTCAGAACTCTTGTCAGGTTGTTAGCGGTTACTTCCAAACTATCGCGTGGGACTAATTACTGCAGGAGAGATCAGTACTGTTCCTTGAGACCCCCGCCCCTCCACTTTCATTCTCTGCTGAGCATTCTGCCAAAGCTCTCCCTGAAACCAGTGCTCGCCCCATCCTACCCTCCAGGAGAACTTGGCTCCCCACCACCACACCACTTCCCAGCCCCACTCTCTCTTCTCTTTGTCGGCGGTGCCTACGGCAGACTTCCTGGTTCATCTGTTTATCTTTTGTCCACTCTAAACTGAGGTGAGGAGCCAGGTTTATCTAAGTGGCCAACTATGTCCCGCACTGAAGAATGTGATGTTCAGTACGGGGGCTTAGAAGGCAGGGAAGGGCAGTGACACGGACTGAACTGAGGAATGCTTAGTGGTACCCAGCATAAGCAGCCTATTAGCTGGAGGCTGAGCCAAATAGAAGTCGAGTATCTGGGAGCCTTTGAAATGGCTGCTGAAGACAAGGGAATTGTTTGTTGGAACTAGGCGACCCAGGAGCAGGCTTCACGGTGTTGGAGATCAATACTGTTTCTTCTAAGGAAACAAACAGAATCAATGCCAGCTGCCCCAGGTCTCAAACTATATCTGAAAGCCACAAGCCCATGGATGGAGGCTTCATGCTGACTTTGTAGAATACAACAGTGTGGATTTGTTTGGGGAACTGTGAGAAACATTGCTAAATTTCATTCTAACAACCATACCTGGGCCACCAGAGGCCCAACACACGAGCATATGGCAACAGAGGTACATATAACCGAACGGCTGAGAAAGGTTTTAGACGTCATGATAGGCATGTTCTGCTCCTCTATCCGCAATGGCATGCTCAAAGATAATACACACCCATTGGACACAGAACTCCAAATGTTCTCACTGCTACCAGGAGCCACCACCAAACAGTCCTCTCTCTACATAAAGGTGTGTTGTCATTCTTTGCTTAATTCAATCTAATGTCATTCCAAAAGAACTCCTTCGATGGCTTTCCCCTGAGTAGCTCTGAAGGTTTTGTGAGCATGTTTCGTTGCTTGAATAGCTCAAATTCTTAAAGCTCCAATTTAGTTAAAACCCACTCTCTTCACACTGTAGGGCCAACCCTAGGCTGTGTATACAGAGGGTGTTTCCTTAAGCAGGGCCTCTGTCCTTGTAATTGCTTCCATTTGCCCTGTATTTACCATCAAAGCAGCCCAGAAAGTGGTCTCCGTGTGCATGGCAGTGCTTAAAGGCAGCTATTGTGTCCTTCCGTCCCCAAGGCTGTTTGTTGTGTCTCTTTCCTGCAGGAAGTCTTTGAAGCATTCCTAGTTGTTTCTTATATTTGTTTTTGAGATTCTTTGCTTTCTGGTTAGCCTTCATTGGTTGCGCCCTGAACCATCCACTTTCCTATTAAACTGGAGTACCCACAATGCCTTCCATACTTCATCCGTGTCTGGAGTGCTGGAGAACACAAGCCAGCACACGGGGACATTTAGGTGGGCCTTGAAAAAGTGAAGAGTTCACCATGTGGATAAGGGATACCAAAGCATTTCTCAGATAAGCATGGCTGTGACTTATCTGGGGTGGATTATGTCGGTTGTTTATGAGCTAAGTCATTTCATTAAAAATTATCCTTAGAATTGTAAAATCTTACAATTATAAGTTATAAACATCCTTGGGTGTACCAGACCCTATCAACTCTGCCATACCTGGTCCCACAGCCATTCAGTCCCAAAGAAACACAGAGAGGTCTACATTAATTATAAACTGGTTGGCCTATTAGCTCAGGCTTCTCATTAACTCTTACAACTCATATTAGCCCATAATTCTTGTCTGTGTTAGCCACGTTGATACCTTTTATCAGCAAAGCAGTCTCATCTTGCTTCCTGTGTGTCCGGATGACGACTGCAGACTGACTCTTTTTTCAGGAATTCTCCTGTTCTGATCTCCCCACCTCTACTTCCTGCCTGGTCACTCCTCCTATACTTTCTGCCTGGCTATTGGCCAATTAGTGTTTTATTAAACCAATGCAACAGATAAATCTTTACAGGATACAAGATCATGTCCCACAGAACTCCCCCCCTTTTCAAAACAAAAACTCTGTATCTAATCTCCTTTGTTTGGCTTTTTTCCTGACCATTATCCATAAAAACTTGTAACTAACACTTTAAACAAAGACAAACATCCATAAACCATTCTTGGGAATGTGTGTGTAGTTTCCTAGGTTACTTCCTGCTGACTGGGGACGCTGATAATCTTATGGGGACCTAAGGGAAATTTAGAATTATAATCAAGTCTTGACTGAAGTATTCTGTGAGGCTTATCATCTCAGCCAGCAGTCTTGAGGCTGTTCTGGATGTAGAACTCAGAGGAAACTCCAACAGAGATTCTCTGAAATGTTGGATCATCTGGACCATCTTCTCCTGTTGCAGATTCTTTAGGGGGTCTTCCTTCATCAAATCTGATTTTTCTTAATCCAGAATGAATCAACAGCCTCTCATTTCCTGTGGAAACAAAAACAAACCTCACCTCCAAAGTAACATGTCTTTTGACTTAAATTTTGAAGTCAAAACATTTTCAAAATATGTATTTTGGATTAATCCAGGAGCATTTGTAATCAAACGTCTTTTAGCAGCTGTTGTTCCTTCCTCAGCCATCAAACCATTCAAAGACAGCACAATAATATACAACATCCAGATTCTCTGTGTATTTTCCTATTTACATGGCTTTATTTTAAACTCTATTTCTTTTATTTTTATTTTTAATTTTTGGGTTTTTGAGACTAGGCTTCTCTGGGTATCTTTGGCTGTCCTGACACTCACTCTATAGACCAGGTTGTTCTTGAACTCACAGAGATCTGCCTGCCTCTGCCTCCCAAGTGTTGGGATTAAAGGTGTGTACCACCATACCCAACTACTTTCTTTCTTTCTTTTTCCTTTTTATTTTAAGGACTTTATCTTTTTGCTTTTCTCTCCAAAGCCTATATATATTTTTAAACACACTGTAAACTATTTAGAGGTTTTTTTCATCTGAATCTATCTTTACTGTATATCTCTATTTTTCTGATCACATGAGCCTTTAATTTGATGAGTGATATGGCTAGGATTAAAGCCGTGGCTTTGATTACTGAATCCACCCCATTCCTTAACTTTCTGAGAATCTAGCCTCATGGCAGAGATACAGGCTGGAGCCATGTTTATTGCCAGAACTCTATGGAGTTTCAAGGTCCCTGCCACCACCAAGAAGCATGCTGTCAGCTACTCATAAACACCATTTAAGTTTCTGGTGGTGGGGCCTCTTAAAAAAAAAAAAACCCAAGTCTCTTAAATGAGACACTTACCTCGTGCAAACATAGTCCACCTGAGGTAATGCTGCTACCACAAAGACATGCTTAATGCTGTTCTTTTGTGTCTAAGATTATTTTCCAAGATCTCTCAGGTTTTATGTGACTATAGTTGTCCACGTGGGCGCCATTTGTTGACAGAGGTTTCTGTCATGCCCAGTCCCGCAGCCATCCCCAAAGAAACACAAAGAGGTCTATATTAATTATAAATTGGTTGGCCTATTATCTCAGGCTTCTTATTAAGTCTTATAACTCATATTAGCCCATAATTCTTGTCTGTGTTAACCACATGGCTTGATACCTTTTATCAGCGAGGCAGTCTCATCTTGCTTCCTCTGTGTCTGGATAATGACTACAGACTGATTCTTTCCTCTTTCCAGAATTCTCCTGTTCTGGTCGCCCCCCTATACTTTCTGCCTGGCTAATGGATAATCAGCATTTTATTAAACCAATACAACAGACAAATCTTTACAGGGTACAAGATCATTGTTCCACAGCATCAGATGACTAAAGGTCTAGGCTACAAAGTCCTCTGCACCCTCCCCACAAAGAGTGGGGTTTGAATATCTTCTGTGATGGGGAACTTTGCTCTTTGAAAATAGACTGTTCAATATTTTTACTTTGCTCTTTGAAAGTTCCTGTGTTTCAGTTGAAACCTGCCTCACTGCCACGTTAGTCATTTTTCAGAGTTATTGGGCATTTCATTCGCTCAGCACTATTCTAGGTGTTGTGTGTGGGGTGAGCTCTGCGGGGGTGCACATGGGGGATCCTGAATGCTCCGTAGAGGTAATCACGGAGGAGGAACAGGACAAATAAGTGCTAAGTTTTGTCTGCAGGGAACTTGTACTGTAGCGGGGGCAACCCATGGCAAAGAGAGCAAAACAAATATTTTTATGAAGACATGAATTAAATACTGAGGGTGTACAAAGGAAAAATAGTTAGCTTCTATGAGGAGAGTAGAGACAACCTGGTCTCTGGTGGATGAAGCAATCAGAGTTACCTCTTTACAAACCATGTCAGATGACATTACATTCTGGACCTTTCCAGGCTTTTCACTGCATTTGGAAATGAAAGCCGGCCCTTCAGGACTCCATACAATATGGTGTTTTGTGACCTTGCGTTGCTCATGTGACCCCTCACATTTTCTTTTCTGATGACATTGATCTTGATGTCCTGTGAACCTGTTAGTCCCCAATTTTGGATTTTCACACTGGTGTTTACTCTTTAGACCACTTTTTGGACTTGTTCCTTTACATCCTTCAACAAAAGTCATCCCGTACGCCACAACTCATTCCCTTGCAATCCCTCTACTCTGCTGTATGGACCCCATAGTGTTCATTACTATCTACAACTTGCTTATTATTCTCAGTTTCCTAGAGAATGTGAGTTCGGTGAATGCTTGGAGAGTGTCAGTTTTGTTTATGTCTGCATCCTCAGTTGCAAGAACACAGCCTAACACATAACAAAGGCAAACAGAAATATTGGTGAAATAAATGTGCAAGCTAATTTTGGTAACCTATTATAAAAAATAACTTTAAAAGCTAACAGCAGGAGACATTAACACCTGACGTACTTTGTAGTTTCTAGACATGAGTCCAATCCTTTTGAAAATGAACCCAAACAGTTTCTCATTTGAAATCCTGTGCTTTTTCCTACTTTCTATGATTTCTCAAAGGATTTTGACCATGGCTCTGAGATTTGCAAGTCTTTCCAGTGTCTAGGAGATTTTCTAGCTAGGCTGAGGTAGCAACAAATTGCACGCGTGAAGGATTCTCATCTAGAATGAGGTTACATTTTCGAGTCAGCATGCAAAGGTAAAATTGACATATCACCAGAATTTCCCTGAATGTCCTAGCATCAAAACAGATAACGGAATCTGTAGTTGTGCACCCAGGGAATTGGTTTGTTCGCATTAGGTGCCCTGTGGTGTGAAAAACAGGGCTCTCTGAGCACCAGATTCAGTCTCAGCCTGGCTAGGTGCTTTTCTTACTGGAGGTGCTTGGGAACTAGGGCTGAAGGGACAACAGTTTACATTCTCTGCTATAGCTGGAGCTAGACTGACTGATTTAGAGTCCTGCCTCTAACCCTCACTTCCCATGAGAGTACAGACTGTCACTCAACCTCTCTACACATCAGTTTCTTCATCTGTGAAGAATAGTGGGATAATAATAGTACCTACCTCAAAGGGTTACATTATATCTACACTCATCGACATAGGAGTTCCTTAGACTAGCACCTATGTGTGCTGAGCATGCCCAACCGTGTTTGCAATCATTTTATTATCTTTCATCTCCTGTTCATGCTGAGGCAGAGGCTGGGTGGGTGGGAAGGCAGGCAGAATGTCCTCGACTATTTCAGTCCTACTCACTTGTTCTCTTACCTTCTTTTTTGGTTTCTCTTCCCCCAGATACCAATAGCAGCATTTGTCTGATGTGACCTTGCTCAAGAGCTCCATCTCTGCTGGAACTCTGGGTTCCTCTACTGATTATCACATGGGTCCTACTTTGTACACTTTTCTGAAGCTACGTGGAGGACAAACACACACACAGACACACATACACACCAGATTTGGAATAGTTCCACCTATTCATCCGTCACCCTCACACTCCCATGCTGTCCACTAATCGTGAGATTGACCTTCTCCTGTTGATCCTCTCCAAACAAAGCTACTGAGTCTCTTCAGTTGCTTTCAGCTTTTTCTAGAATCCTGACTTTATTCTCTGGCTTCAGCTTTTCTGATACTTTTCTTTTCTTTTCTTTTTTTTTTTTCAGATTCATGCTCTTCCCTTTTAGCACTGAGAAAGTTAAAAAGTCAGAAAGAAAGGCAACACAGCAGAAAATGCATGAAAAATGACCAGCCAGGATTTTTTTTTTAAATGTGAAGAGCAGAAGAGAGCGAGGCCTGAAGAGCTGGCATGAGGAGAAAGGAACATTCGCTGTTATATATGGCAAAAGCTGCTGTCCTAACAGAGGTGATGAATTCCCACAGGCCAGAGATGCTGGAGGACAGGGCTCTCAGGGGGAGCCAGCCTGGCAGGCAGGCTGACTGCCAGAGAGTGGAAGCCAAGCTTCGGCCACATCTGGAAAGTTACAGGTATTCACTTCTTCTTAGCCCTAGTATGGAAGCTCTTGTTCCTGGATTTTTAAGACTAGAGAAGAAAATGTTATATAAAGACCCAGTAAATGCCAGATATTATTATTATTATTATCATTCTTTGGACCTACAGTTGACTCATTCATATATCCATTCAACATATATTTTCTGGGCATTTATAGCCTAGGCATAATGCAAAACACGGCATGAAAACATGAAGTGGTAAAGTCTCTTTCATTGAACAGTCAAGTCTTAGGAGAAAGAGAGGCACAGGGGTAGCGTATACAGTAGGCTGTGTGCATTGTCATAGACTGCATATGCAGCAGCTGCAGAGGTCCTATGAATCACAAGAAAAGGAGAAGATGGACAGGGAAGAAGTGCAGACCAATACAGGGTGTGCTAATGAGCAGGCCACCACTGTGCACTGCACTGTGCGCAGTGTGCTCAGTCCCATTGAGGATTCCCCCAGGGACATTGTAGAAGCTGTCTCCTGTTGCCCATTAGAATGTGTAATCTGTGGAACTTGCCCAGTAACTCCCACTTCTGGCCTGCCCTGGCCTCTGGACTAGCATATTCTTGGCTGCACACAGTAGAAGAGTCCTGTGTGGATAGAAGCAATGATGCTAAGGGGACATGGCAGAACACAGAAGTGTCTGTTATGTTCACTTAGAGAAAGAAGCACGGAGCCTTATGGATGCTGGAAGGCAAGCTCCCAGCTTAAACCAGCTGTGCATCTTCTTCAAAGAGCTGACAGTTGATCACTATCCTACTACGGGCTACCTACCTCCTTCTAAAGCTGCTCAGAAATTCCCGGATGCCTGGTCACGCTGAGAACGGCAAGTTCTGGGTGGTGTAATAAGCCATCTCCTGATTGTCCTACCCACAGGGCCAGGAGGTCGAGAGCAGGACAAGAACTCTGACGGCCAACAGAGCCTAACAGGGCTGTCGTCTCTGAGACTGAGAGGTGGGGAATAGATGGAATGAGCTTACATTTGCTTTTCATATAGAAACCCAAGGACTTTCAGGTTGGGTCTGTTTGTGAACTGTTTATGCTTCCTCAGAGCCCTCTTTCCAGAACCCTCACCTCTCAGCAGCCCCTCCCCACCCCCATGCCTGCTGCCCTCCCTCCCCCTTCACAGTACCACCTCCCAGTCAGAATAAGGATGTGGCAATCAGGCTGCCCAGAATTGTTCTCCCTGCCTTCAGTTCGCCCTGAGCAGAGTTCAGATTGCACATTTCCCGACACTCAGAGAGACCCATTAATATTTAGCATGTAACATTTCCAAAGCACTTTGCTAACATGAATTGATCTTTTCGGCACCCCCTTGCGAGGCAGCTCAGTACTGCTAGTTCTACTGGGGACATAAGACTTCAGGAAGATAAGCTATTTAGGCTGGGGCCAGGGCTGGTGAGTGATGGACCCATATTAGCACCAAAGGTCGATGACACCAGTTGTCTGTGTCTCCAGACAGAACTCTAGAGTGGCCATGACACACCCTCCCTCACCAGGCTGTCCTGGAACAAATCCAGCCCTCAGAAGGTTTAAATAGAATGGATTTGTCATCTTTAAGATTGAACTGCTTACAAACCAGCTATCATTTATGGACTCAGGCACTTTACATAGATTGTGTCATTTAATTCTCTCAGCCCTTGTCCATCTTCTGCAAGATCACTATTAGTTTGTGTATCAGAGAACCAAAGCACAGAAAGATTAAGTAACTAACATAAAGTTTCCCAACCAGTAATTAGCAGAGCTAGGTTTAAACCTAGGCTAGATAGCTTCTGGGTCTTAACTACTTTGAGCCAGATTTGTAGCATGATTAATAAAAACTCAGAGACAGAATTGGGGTTCAACCTGAAAAGCAAAACACCCAGCAGCCACTGGCTCTTACTCTACCTCAGTCCGAAATGGCAATCCTGCCTCCAGAAATCTCAGAATGAGACTGTCTGAGAGCTGTCTCCTTCCATCTTACATTCTTCTCTAGGGCTGGGATTAAAGGTGTGCACCACTACCGCCTGTTTCTATAGCAAACTAGTGTGGCTACTGGGATTAAAGGTGTGTGCCACCACTGCCTGGTCTGTAAGGCTGATCAGTGCAACTGTTTCACTCTCTGAACTTCAGGCAAGATTTATTTATTAAAATACAAATGAAATATCACTACACAGATTAGATGTAGGTAGATGAACAAGGTCAAGTGGAATTGCTCTTTGTGAAGTTCTGCTCACTCCTGAGCTATTTATCATATGCTTTGCACAATTATTTCTGCAGATAAAGGAATGAGAGTGTGTTTGTGAAGAATGAATGTGTAAACTAGAGCTGTTGGGTGCTTGGTTCCCTATGTTTTTCTTTGCTTCCTATCCCAAAGGTTTGCTAAAAGTACAGAGAGAGGACTGTTTATGCAGTATCAAATAAATAAGTGAGGGCTCATGTGCTACACAGTGTGTTTAATGATGTCACTCTGGTTGGCAGAGTACAAGATTTGTGAGAGCTCTTTGACAGGGACCAAGGAGGGAGGCAGGAGTGACCTATTAGCCCAGAGAGATAACGGAAGTTTTGTGAAGGTGACCTGAGTTGTATTTTAATAAATAAAGACTGCCTGAAGATTGTAGGTAAAACAGTCCCAATGGTCATCTTTACAGACCAGGTTATGATAACACACACCTTTAATCCCAGTAGTCACAATGACACACACCTTTAATCCCAATAGCCACAATGACAGACACCTTTAATCCCAGTAGCCACGCTAGTTGCCATAGAAATCGGGTGGTGCATGCCTTTAATCCCAGCCCTAGGGAGGGATATAAAACGGTGGGGAGACATCTCTCAGACAGTCTCATTCTGAGATTCCTAGAGACAGGATCGCCATTTCGGTCTGAGGTCAAGGTAAGATCCAATGGCTGGTTGTTTTGCTTCTGGGATCTTCACGTTGAACCCCAATTTCTGACCCTGAGCTTTTAGTAATAGTGCTTCAAGGAAAGGTCAGTGTGCAAAGAGAGTGGAGGTGTGAGGTGACAGGCAGGTTCAGAGGCTGGGAAGTTCGAGCCTCTTGCTTTCTTGCAGTCAGTGAGTCAATCGGTGGCCCCAAAGTCCCGGATGAGAGAGTGGGTCAAATATTCTAGGATGTTATTAAAAATGTTCGTGACAAGAACAGTTAAATTTTCTCCTTGGTTTTTGTTGACTAAAATGGATAATTATCTAACAGATGTTTGACAAGTCTCTACTACATCCAAGGTATTGACTCCAGGAACCCTTGATGGGAACATACCTTTCAGAGGGCTGAGGCCACTGAGCCGGCCTGGAGCTGAAGCATTGTATTCTGGGAAGAAGTTGTGAAGAAGAGTCATTCTGTCTCTCTTTCTCTCCTAGGGGGACAATTACCAGTGCTGTAATTTAATTCTTTTACATTTTTAATGTTTTTAATTGAAATAGAATTATATCACTTCCCCTTTCTATTTCCTCCCTCCAGTCCCTCCCAGTTACCCACCCTCAGTCCTCTTCCATGCCTGCCCAACTTAAGAGCTTCTTTTTTCTTTGTTTATATTTGTTACATACACATGCACATGCATGTATGCATACACACACATAAACACAAAACCTTCTGAGTCTGTTTTGGTAGTTTGTGTGCATAAAGTTTCAAGACTGACCACTCTGCATTGGACAACCAATAAGGGAGCTCATTCCTGGGAAAGACTAATTCTTCCTCTCTCAGAGGTCACGAGTTGCCCTTAGGTCTTTGAAAAGTGGGTGGGGCCCCAGGAAAATTTCCCATTCAGAGTTAGCATGTCCATTGATACTGCTGCTGTTTCAACTTGCTTATGCAGACATTTCTAGGAGAGACTGCTTTACAGCAGCCTTCTCGGTATTCTGGCTCCTACAATCTTCCCATCTCCTCTTCTGCAATGTCTCCTGAGCCATAGATGCAGGAGCTGTGATGTAGATTCATCTGTTGGAGTTGGGATCCCCATTGATCTCTCTTTTCTCTCTGGTTGAGTGGGCTTTAAGCTCATTTAGACGTCTGTTGGCTGCCACCAACACATGAGTACCGGTTCTTGCACCTTTATGCATATCTTGCCAGGCAGGTAACTGTGGCTCATAGGTGTTGCAGCTGGGTAAGACTGCATTATGCCCAGCTGTGCTCTTCTGTGGTGGTATCTGCTTGTTGTAAAGAGAAGCTTCTTTGATGTGGGGTGGTGGCTACACTAGGTATAGGATTTAAAATGTGATAATGAATTATGCCGGTCTAATAAATTGCAGTAGTAGTTTCTTTTCTTCTCTTTTTTCTTTTTAAAAAGATTTATTTATTAATTATATATACAGTATTCTGTCTGCATGTATACTACAGGCCAGAAGAGGACACCATATCTCATCACAGATGGTTGCGAGTCACCATGTGGTTACTGGGAATTGAACTCAGGACCTAGGAAGAGCAGTCAGTGCTCTTAACCTCTGAGCCATCTCTCCAGCCCCAGTAGCCTCTTTTCTAAGCTCTTTAGCCTCACTAGCCCCTGAAAAGCTGATTAGGTTTCCAGCACCAGGCATGGTTTTCCACCTATTAAGTGGGCCTTAAATCCAATTAGACAGCTGTTGGCAACCACCACCACGTGAGTGTCAGTTCTTGCACCTTTACCCAGCGCTCGCCATGCCAGTAATTGTCATGGTTCATAGGTGTTGCAATGTTGCAGCTGGATAAGACTGTTTCATTGTCCCCTCACCCTACCCCCTCCCCCTGACAGCTTGCATCGCATCTTCTGGAACCAGGGAAGCTGGACTTCAGGGAAGAGGCTTTCAGATTAGATCCAGCTCAAGTTATTTAAGTGCTGTGTCCTAAGTATATGGTGTCTACAGTGTATACTTGCGATACGAAACCTGTGTGAAGATCAGAAGATGACTTGTGGGAACTTATTCTTTCCTTCTATCTATCATGTGGGGTTCAGGGATCAAACGCAAATGATCATACTTGACAGCAAGCACTCCCTTCCCTCACCTGACAATGAGCCATATCATTGGCTCTGGTATTATAATTTAAAACCTCATTTTTCCCTATTGAATCTATCCCTTCTCAGCAAAACTTTATGTAATGTGTATCTCCCCTTTCCTCCTTAGTTCGTCATAGTTTAACAATTTACTGGCCATTGTATAACTCGGCCACTGTGTAACATTGTTCATGATTAGTCAGTGTGGCATGTGATCTGGTGGGTCTCCTCCATCTTGCAGTGGCAGTTTAGTGACTCAGCTAAGGTACCCTTCAGGACCCTGGTCTCGAACTTGTTCTCTCTATATAGTATTTTGCCTTCCAGTTCCAGTGGGCATTCCCACAGGTATAGCTAAGTGCCAGAGAGCCCTGACTGCACAACGGAATGTGGAGGGGGGGGGAGTATGGCTTGAGGCACATGATGAGTTAGGTCTTTATGGTGTCAAATAGAGGGCAGTGATGATGCAGAAGTCCAGATGGGTTATCAGTTATAGCTCTCAGGGACCGAGTCCTTCTCAGAATATGCAGAGTGAATCTGAACACAAAATCACCAAGCTCATCCCTCCATGTGGGGTTCATGGCATAGCATATATGTTAACCACAGACACCTTAAGAAGTGGATATGGGTGTAAATAAGACAAATCAAAAGTGCATCAGCTGTTGGGACCCCACAGTTCTGAGGTTGAACAAGGCAGTAGTTGCTTCTGTGCTTTCTTTTTGGTGGCTTCAGTTAGAGTCCTCTGGGCTCCGGTTAAGTTTTAGGGTCTGGAGTCATGACCGTTATCAAAGAGAATAGAGTGAGAGCTATCTGTGGCTGTCCTGCCCTCCTAGTGTCCCCCAAACTCTCCAGTTGATGGCTTATACTATGTTGTTTTAATAGCAGTCCTTACAAACACTAGTCAGGAAGGAAGGGGTCAACACCCAAAAGCCCAGTGAAATTTGGATCCTCTGTGTGTGTAAGCGGAAATCCACAAAAGGAAAGATTTCTGACATTAGGAGGCACCGACCAGAGCCCACACTTCCAGGCAGAAGGCTTATTTAGTCCCTCTGTCCTGTTAACATTTTCTCTTCCATCTTCCATACCATATGGGTAATTATGGCATTGTATTCCGAGAATGTTGTGAAGTGTTCCCCAGCAGGATTAGAACTTGTCTCCTTCACAACCTATGTCTGCCTATTACCTCCCAGGCATCTCTTCAGGACTGTTTTGAAACTAGGTTGGCGATAGCCATCTCCTCATCAAGTCCCCCACCCCCTGCTAGCTATCTCAGGACTCCAAAAGGTCACACAGTTGAAACAGGGGACCTGGCACCAGGAACCATAGAATAATGAAGTCGAGGTGCTAGTGTAGCAATTGAGAGCTCAGACTCTGGAGCCAGATGATTTTAGTTCAAACCTCATGCTTATTAGCTACATGACCTCAGGCATATGAAATCTCTCTGTGCCTTAGTTTCCTCTAATGGGAAATGATAGTACATAAAGACTGCATGAGGACTGACTTGGATCAGGATGTGAAGGGTTTGCCACAGACCCAGCACACACTAAGCACTTGCTAACTGTTAAATGTTATTATTTATTAAAGGAGGGATTTTCTGCATTCAGGATGATTCTTTTCTTCCGTACGTCCTTGGAACCTCCACTCCATGACCTTCTCCCTAATTTACATTTATGGAGCCAGCTGTTCCAATAGCCTCTCTTTCTTCTGGTTGGGGATGGGAAGGAAAAGCACCTTGCATATGAGCTCTTATTATTTTTTGGTATTGCTTACAGTGTCATCTTAAACCAATATGCCAAAGCTCATTTTCATTCAGCGCTAAGGGCCCTTTAAACCAGCCATTCCCCATTTACTCTGTTTTATAAAGGAAGGCCTTCGGGTTTCATGTTCCTTTATTGTATTTTGTAGGGTACAGAACACATATTGGATACTATGTAAATGCAGAATACTCTAACAATAGTAACAGACAGATGAGAAACTCAAGGAAGTGGAGTCACCATTTTGAATTTAGCTTTTTATCGATGGGCTGAGTGATTTGAAAGAGACAATGTGGCTCCAAGGCTAAAGAGCCCACAGGGATTTCAATGGCGAAGGTCTGAATCTCAGTCACAGCAGCAGCTCCGGTGACCCAAGGCAAGCAGCTTCCTTCCCCTGGACCTCAAACTCTCCCCATGAACACTGGGCTTGATGCCACAAAACAGCCTCCCAGGCATGCTAAGTCAAGCCCGGCCATATGCAGCTGGGCAGATCGTGCACTGCCGAAGGGTGCCAACTGAGGAGGCGAGTGGGGCATAGGATGTGGTCCATACTCTGCTATCAGTCTGTACCCTAGTAGCGGGTTGGTCCATCTGGAGGAAGCGTGTACTCTGCCCTTCCCCTCTGCACAATATTATTCCTATGGGCTAGTAGAGACCCTGAATTGAGCAACTTGACAGGAGTGGGGCACAGAGCACAGTAAACAGAATGTGCAGTTCAACACAGCCACTGAATATTTGCTTTGTGCCAGGCCCAATTCTCAGGCTGAAGATATGGAGATAGATGCAGGCAATTAATACCTGTGGTTCTGCCCTTCCTCCCCCAGCCCTTCCTCCACCACATCCAGTCGATTAACAAGCCATGTCAAACTCACCCAGTTTGCTCCATCCACTGCCAGCGCTTGGCTTCATTATGATACAAGGACTCCCACCTCCTCTACCTTGTCCTTCAAACAAAAGCAAGAGTGTTTGTATTAAAATGTGAATCAGATAATATTACTCCATTTCAACCCTTCGGTGGCTGTAATTTAATTCAGGGTTCTCACGATGGCTCACATTCTGTCCCCTGCAGCAAAGCAAACCATCTCGTCCTTTAAATAGCCTCGCTCTTCAGTTAGTCTAAGCCTTCTGGCTGGAACACTGCTTGGTTCTCCCCTTTAGCATCTCTTTCTCATCCTTCAGCACTAAGTGGACAGTCAGCTCTTCAAAGAAGCCTCCTTGGGCCACCTTGTTAAAGTTACCAAGATGTTCAATTGTACAGCAGCCCAGCTTACTTTGAAAGGAGAGAATTCCACATCTCCTGACTTATCTGCTGGATTGTTAAGTGCCAAATCAGTGAGGACCTTGCTTTTTAATTCTTCACGGAGTGCCTTGCTAAATCTCTGATGCACAGTACTTAATATCAATAATACTTGTTAGAGCAAGCTGATAAATGGAATTCATCCAGCAGAGAAGTATTGTGACTGCACGTTGAGATGTAGGGATGGGTACTATGACAAAGGCTGTGATGCACTAGGTGAGGTGGGGGTGGCAGATGGGGACACTGCTTCTATCGTTTGTTTGTTGATTTTTGTGGTGCAAATACTACCTCTTGCCAGTGGTGTTAATAACTCGCCATGGGGCAGCACATACTCAACAAAGGCTTAGTGGATGAAGCAATACTTGATTTGTGTTTTTGCAGAATCTGTGGTTTGCTGGCTCAGGTCCAATTCTGCTAAACTAGTTAACACAGCTCTGCTTCCCAGTAGCCCACATTTAACTGTTCCTGGTTTCCCTACCCAGCCTACCCCTGCTCACCTGGGTATTAACACATGACTCAATTCAAGCCTTAGTCTGACTTTTCCCGGGTCTGACTTTCTACTTTGACCACCCCCTCCCATGCCTTAGTAAGGGTTTCTATTGCTGTAATGAAAAACCACGACCAAAAAGCAAGTTGGGAAGGAAAGGGTTTATTTAGCTTCCATTTCTAGATCATAGCCCATCACTGAAGGAGGTCAGAACAGGAATTTAAACAGGGCTGGAATCTGGAGGCAGGAGCTGAAGCAGAAACTGTGGATGGGGAGCTGTTTATTGGCTTGCTTCCCTTGGTTTGATCAGCCTTTGTTCTTTTAGAACCCAGGGCGCCACCCACCATAGGTTGGGTCCTCCCCCATGGCCACTAACTGAGAAAATGCTTTACAACTGGATCTCATGGAGGCATTTCCTTAACTGAGACTCCATCCTCTCTGATAACTAGCTTGCATCAAGCTGACACACAAACCCAGCCAGGACACCAGCTGAAGCTGTGGCAGTGGTAGAGACTTTCTCCAAACAGTTCCTATTGCAGCTGATGATTGTGCTTTGTTGCTGTTGCTTTTCAATATGGAACTATTTGATTAGTATCTGTCTCTTCTTAAGGGGCTATAAACTCCATAGGGCAGGGATTGTTTTGTTCATTATTTTTAGCCCCCAGCACTGTACATTGTGAACAATAAAATACAATAATTTTGTTGATCAGATCACCAGAGCGGGGGTGGGGAGACTTTCAAGGAAGGCTCACACCTACGTACCCTATAATGAGATTTGGCATGTCTTTTCTCTTCGGACCTCTTAAGGGATAGGAAGGAGAGTAGTGGACTGGAGATTCCTATTTTGTAAACGCTACCCAAGGTGTTCACCTCCATCCCGGTCTCTCAAACTCAATTAAATGGTGTCTTTACAGGATTTTAACACAAACATGACTTGATTAGATTTGTTATTTACATAAATCGGCCTTTGGCAGTAGGGCGGACCCCACAGTGGTACTGAGATCAGCAAGGACAGTAATCAGCTAAGAAACAAAGCAGGGGAAATGAAATATAACTGGCTGTGGAAATAAAGGAGAACAGATTCAAGTGCTAAAGTTAGAGAATCTACAGGGTTTGGTTATCATTCAAACACGGACAGAAGAGGCAATGGAGACAGATGGGGAATCCAGGTCAAAGGGACGAGTGGACGGATGTCAGTGAACAGAGAGGAGAGACATACTTTTCAAATATTTCTTTTTTCTTTTATGGTTGAAGATCGAACCCAGAGCGCCCCACTTGTTAGGCAATCACTGGGCTTGTACCTTTAGCCCACCAAAGGGTCAAGCCAGTTTTTGACAAGCCTGCAAGACAGGAATGAGACAAGGCTGTCTAGAAGTTGGGAATACAATAAGCTCAGGCGAAAAAAAAAGGCTGAGCTGAATTTCCCCTCCCCCCATTCTAAGAATCGCAGAGAACAATATTTAAAAGGAGAGTTCGGAAAAAAAAGAGTTATAGGAATAGAATGAGTCGAACGGTTTGGAATGAGGAAGGCAAACCTGAATAGTGTCATAGAAAATAAATGATAATGTCTAACATCATCAAATGAGTAATGCTCAAGTTAGACAGCCTGAAAATACCTCCAGTGGGTTTGGCGACAAGGACACTGGCTGCAACAAGGACATTTTCCGCGGGGGCAGAAGCTGCAGTGTAGAACACAACACACACAGGAAGGAAGTGAAGACACTAAGCGTAGATTACGCTTGAAGAAACTCGTCTGTGGACGAGGAAAGAGACACGGTATGATTGAGTAGGACGTGAGGAGATTTGAGCGCAGTCACAGCTGAAGGTAGAGATGGAGGAGGGTAGACGGTACAGGAGATAGCGGGGCGTCAACACCCTCCCGCCTTCTCCATTTGCCAGCTCCGCCTCTACGTGACGCGACCGGGCCTCGCAAAGACTACAACTCCCAGGAGGCCCAGCGGCGTGGGCGGAGTCAAGGCTTGGCGCGCACCCCAGCGGCGAGCGGAAGAGCCGGCGCTTCATGGTGGCGACGGAAGCGGAGAGCGACAGCGTCCCGGTAACCACGAACCCCTGGCCCCGATTCTTTCCCACCATGAGCTGGGGCTGGTTGCCCTACTTCTCCCCTCCCTCCCCCGACAGGACCCTCTGTTTTCTTTTCTCACGTGACTCGCGGGGCAGGCCCCCGCCTGGGGCGGGGGTTATTGAGAGCTCCCGCCCTTCGACCCCTAAGGGCCCCCGGACCCGACGGCCTCTTTCGGGTGCCTTCTGTCTTCTCAGGGGTCGCGTCCCTGCCTGCCTTGAGTCTCTGCCTAATGCTTCTCGAAGGGATCATCTCCCTCCGGTGTGTCAACAGGTAGCGGGGGCTTTGGGGACCCGCTTTGGGCTGCGGGGCTCTGGGTCACCGTGGTTGCTCTGGAATGACCTCTGGATCGCGGGCCCCCGGGCAGTTCTGGGTGGTGGCACTTGTGCCTCACGTCTGCTCCGCTGCCCGGAACCCCGGGCTATGGACTGGCAGTGAGCAGTTTAAAGTAGAGTGTGTACTTCCTGCTCTTCTTGGGCGGTCTGCGGAAAACTTCCAAATCCCTTTATCGAAAGTTTCCGCCGAACTTTTGTCTCCGTGTCTGAGTTGTGAGGGAAGAAGCACAGGGTTTAGTGTTTGGCTCCTCAGAGTATGATGAGTCGGCCCCTTGCTGGGCAGTGATCTTTTGTAGACCTATTACCACCACCTCGGTTTCCCTGTCTTAGAAAAAGGGGGGGTGGGTGCAACCATCTCGGTACTCTGCCTTTCAGTGTTCTGGGTTTCAGCAGAAACGTACTGTGAAACGTTCGGACTGTAAAACATGTTAAAATCAAGCTTTAATATTCTCCCTTCTGCGGTCCAGGCCAGTTGCATTTTACAATCACGTTCATATCTTTATGAAGACTGGAGTTAATATATGCTCTTTTTAGAAACTGATATGAACCATACAGATGTTATGCTAGGTTTCTCCGGGAGAGGTGACGCGGGGCCCCGATCACCTGTGGAGTCAGGGCCTGCCAGAATGTGGACTGTCCTCCACAACTACCCAGCTGCCTTGCTCGCTCTGTGAGCACTGCACCTAAGGAGCCCCTAAGACTGAGCTCCCCAAGCCTGATGCTGAATTTGTTCCCAGAGTCTAGCCATTGTGGCGCCCCCCTGCTTTTCAGGTCCTACTCAATGTAGCAGCTGCTTTAGCTGTTTGGTGTGTACTGGCTAGGAGTCTTTGCTCACAGGGTTCAGAGTATAAATAGCTAATACTGCAGTCTGTTTTCTGACTGTCAAGATGGGAGATTCTGAATGGCTGCTTATTGTTGTGTCTGCGAACCCCCCCCCCCCCAACTTGTAGAGAAGTTCGAGGGTTTGCTAACAATTTTTTAAAATGATGTGGGATATGGTAATTTTTCGATTTGTTTGTTTGGAATTGTTGATTGAAAAAATTTTAAGTATGGTTTAGAAAAAACAAGGACAGAAGGAAAGTGTATTAGGTCAGTGTATAAACTTGAACAAATTTGAATTCAAATCCTGGTGTTGGGGCTTATGTTGGGCAACCTAATTGACTTCTCTAAGCCCGTTTATTAAGATGGAATTAACAACATTAAACCTCATAAGATGTTTGTTAAGATTATGTAAATTGCGACTTTGAAGACATTAGTGATGGTAAGGGCATGTAAATTAATTTTTGTCACTCTTACTGATGAGTGATGACAAGAGGTGATGTTAATTTTAGGTATTTTCCTGAGATACCATTTGTTTGTTTGTTAAAACAAGGATATTTTTCTGTACTCTACAGACTTTAAAAACTCTGATAAAACTGGCCATGGTGTCAACACACCTATAATCTCATCATTTTTAACATCAAGACAGGAAAATCACAAATTCGATGCCAGTTTGCCATTTTAGAGAAATTCTTTCTCAAACACCACTACCGCCACCACCAAAAAACTGTAAGTACAAGTTCTTAGCCAGGTGGTGGTGGCACATGCCTTTAATCCAGGCAGTCATGGCACACGCCTTTTAATCCCAGGCGGTGGTGGCACATGCCTTTAAACTCAGGAGGCAGAGTCAGGTGGATCTCTGGGTTCAGGCCTGCCTACAAAGTGTTCCAGGACAGCCAGAGCTATTACACAGAGATACCTTATCTTGAAAAATCAAACCAAATAAACCAAAAAAAGTTACCAAAATTTCAGATCTTTTTCTCTTAACAATTTCATTTTTATTAAGCATTCCAAGGGTTGATGTGTATAATTGATTGATAAGAGTGTGTAAGACTCTGGGTTCTCTCCCTAGTGCCAGTAATAGCAATAGCTACCAACAGCAAAAGCCTTTAATCCCAGCAGGCAGATTGATCTCTGAGGTTTTTTGCTAGCCCAGTCTGTGTAGTGAGTTCTAAGCTAGTAAGGGTGATACAGTGAGAGCCTGTCTTTATGTATGTATGTATGTATATATGTAAAAAAGATGGTTCTTTTTTACTATTTGGGTTTCCTACAGTGCTGTTGTGAAATGGTTGTTGAGTCTGTGCTTTAGTTAATATTTTTCTAGAGATTTCAAATTTTTGTACCTTGTTAGTTGAAATTGAACTGGTACTTTATTTATGGCCTGTACTAAATGTATTTCACTGTGCAGTGCAGCTTGTAGCAGGACAATTGCCTATAACTCAGATTATTGACAAGAATAGGCTTTTATAGAGCAATTTTTGTGTCTGTGTTTACATGTTTACTCCCCCAACCCCCCGCACATATACATAGACATACAATTTTTAAGCTAGGCTGTTATAAAATTTTAGCCTGAGATGGACGTGTTGGTGTATGCCTTTAATTCTAGTACTTGGGAGTCAGAGGCAGGATGATCTCTGTGAATTCAAGGTCAGCATGGTCTACATAACAGTTCCAGGTCAGCCAGAGCTACCTGGTGAGACTCTGTTTGAAATAAACAAAAACTAAACAAAATTTAGCTTAAAGTAGTGTAAGAAACTTGGTGGCCCTCATTTTTTTTTTTTTTAAATAATGTCCAACATCCTTTGCTGATGTCCTGGCTGTGTATGTGTCTTTAAGGAGTAAGTTTAGCAAAGCCAAGGAGGACAGCCTTACAGACAAATGATCTGTTGATTAGGGCAAAATCTTAGACAGGGTTTCTCTGTGTAACAGCCTTAGCTGTCCTAGAACTCACTTTGTAGACCAGACTGGCCTTGAACTCACAGAGATCCCTACCTTGTCTCTGTCCCCGCCCCCGCCCCAGCTGGGATCAAAGATGTGCATCACTATGCCTGGCTTTCTCAGAGCAAAATCTTATGTGTTGCAAGAAGGGGCTACTTGTTTGTTCCAGGCACCCAACTAGCTTACACCCAAAATAATCACACGGAAACTGTATTAATTAAAACACTGCTTGGCCATTAGCTCTAGCCTCCTATTGACTAACTCTCACACTCAATGGATTAATGATTTAACCCATTTCTATTAATCTGTGTTCACCACGAGGTCGAGGTCGTGGCTTACTTGGAAAGATTCAACTTGTCTGACCTGGTGTCTCCATGGCGGCTCTCTCACTCTGCTTTCTTCCTCCCAGAATTCAGTTCTGTTTTCTCCGCCTACCTAAGTTCTGCCATATCACGCCAAGCAGTTTCTTTATTCATTAACCAATGAAAGCAACACACAAACAGAAGGACCTCCTACACCGCTTATGGGTTAAGAAATGAAATATTCAGGGTGATGGTGGTGCATACTTTAATCCCAGCACCCAAGGCTGGGATTCAAAGCAAGTTCCAGGACAGCCAGGGATACTCAGAGAAACCCTGGCTTGAAAAGACAAAACAAACAAAGAATTGAAATACTATTTTTATTTTCTTCAGGTGACTCATTGACTGCCAGATAGCCACACAGTTAGAACTTTAAAAAATATTTCCTTTATTCCTTTTTTATATCTTCACCTTTTATATATCCTTTTATGATCTTCATCAAAAGACCAAGAAGCAAGTATTCTCTTTTATGTTGTGCCCTCTGCTTTTTAAATTCATTCTTACCTTTAGTTATGCTTCAGCATGATTTTTTGAACAATAGTGTATATATTATATACACATATAGCTATAACTGTAGAAAGTTATGTATATTAAAATCACCTTGTGCATATTGTGTTGTCGCCTTTGTTTCAAACGCTTGGCTTTTGACTCATTTTACTTTAAAAGAACTTCGGAAGGTAGATTTCGTGCTTAACTGTATACATAGTGAATGCTCAGTTAGTGATGATTGTTGAATAGGAACATTTTACTGATTGTCTTATGCGCTATAGCACACTTAGGCGAGGCTGTACTGTACTGTGGAAATCCCTAAGCTTTGGAGTCAGAGTTCGGAATCCAGTCTCTGCTGGGTGTAGCCTTAGTTCCTACTTTTGAATTCACTTCACACCATCAGTAAAGCAGGGTTATTAGCCTGCATGGCTGAAAGAGACATATTTAAGCTAGGCGTATACTAGTCAAGTTTAGTAGAAAAAGGAGTTGCTCATATTAATATTTTTAATTTTTATTATTTTATGATAGTTAAATAGGTTTCAACTATATTAATCATTCTCTTAATGTTTCACACGATCAGTGTGTTTCTTTGTTACCCCAGATTGACTGTGACCATGGAGCCTGAAACATTGCAAAGCTAATTGGCCCTCATGGAGTTTGAATCTGTGACCTGTTCTCATTAAATTCATGCACTAAGTATTCACAGATATCTAACATATTTTTTAATTTGGTATTCATGTAACTCATTAGATATAAGTAAATGAAATAGTGCCAAGAGTAAAAGTATAGATTTTTAATTAAAAATTTATGAAGCTAGCCCTCATATAATATATAAAACTGGCAACCTATAGGATTAGCCACTTACCTGAGCCATAATTTAAACATTTCTTTTCATTGTTGAGTTATATTTATGGTAGGTTTCCTGCCCATAGAAGGGAAGAGTAGACTATGCATGTATTGAAAGAGGACCCAACTTCTGTGCTGCTCACCAGAGAAGGTGCTCTTAGCGTGCAGGGAAAACGTGAATGAGCCCAGCAGGATGGATGAGGCTTGGGTAACTCCTAAGAGCTTATTGAATTACAGAGAAATTTAGTTGTCAGAGCATTAGATAGGAGAAAAGTTATAGGGTGTTGTTCAGTGGCAGCAAGCCTGCATTTGGAGTGTGTTTTCTGCTCTGAATAAGCCATACACCATTTTTTCCTAGTCTATGGTGTGTGCTTTTTTCACTATATCATGTTAGCTTTCTGTGTAGTTGACCATTTTTCAAATTCACTACACTTTATTAATATTTGTTGCCTTTCTCTTGCATCTCTCTCTTTTTATGCCAAGCATG